GATACCCAGGTGTTTCCTTGCCGTGTCTGTGCCCCCATCTGTCCCCCTGCTCAGATGCACCCCACTCCCCTCCAACTCTGGTTCCTGTTCACCCATCACAGCTCAGCTCTGGCCAAGGACAGGGCTAAGTCATTTCCACGTCATGGTGTCCAGCATGTGGCTCCAGGCATCAGAGTCCTTGGTTATTGATGTGTGGCTGACGAGTGGCTGGAGGGGCCGAGGGGGTGAGGGCTGAAGGGGAGTCCAGGGCAGCTAGATGGACAGTGGGCAGTTGGGGGAGTGGAGGATGGGTAGGGACAGGTGGGTGGGTGGCTTATGAGGCTTATGTTCCCTGAGGGGGAGGGGCCTGGACTGAACACCGGGGTGGAGACTGGGCACGGGGTGGGGGTGGGGTCCTTTGAGAGACATTTGAGGGCAGAACCAGCAGATTTGGGGAGGGGAAGGCAGGTCCTGGGTGATGCCTACACTTCTATCTTGGGGACTTGGGTGTCATCAGGGAGGAGATGGTGACAGGGTCCGTGTTGGACATGGGGCTGAAGGCTTCGGAGGAAAGGCCCAGGAGGTAGCTGGGGACCAGCCTTGAATGGGGCATGGCCAGGCCGCACAGGGACTTGAAGGTCGCGTGGGTGGTCACTGGAGTCATGGGCCAGCCTGGGGGCTTGCTGCCTGGGGGGACACTGGGCCAGAGGGCTGGGAGGGGGAAGCCTCTTGGGGCCGCAGAGGAGGGAGAGGAGTCGGTGCCGGAGGTGGAAGTGCCAGGAGGCCAGAGCTTGTGGGGCAGGAGCGGAAGGGACTGTAAGTGCTATTTTTAGAAACGATTTTTCCATTTCAATTCAACTCCACAAATATTTATTGAGCTAAAAGGTTCTGTGTCAATCCATTTTGTAAATTAGATTTTTGGACAACAAGTGCTGTTTTATCTGGGACTGGGGGGGGGGCTGCGTCATCCCAGGAGCCCTGAGTCAGGTTCTCCTGAGCGGCCCCGTTGGTGGTTTTGAGCCAACCAGGATCCCGGCTTCCCGAGCTGCCGAGTGGAGCTTTGGTTGGTTCCACTTGTGTTTTCAAACATCCTCTGGCTGCTACGCAGACCGTGGGCCCAGGGAGGGAGCTGCTGTGTGGCTGGAAGGCCAGGGCCATGGCTCTGCGGGGAAGGGGATGGGAGAGGTGCGGAGGTCCTCACCGCAGACAGGGCTGGAGTTTCACATTCGGGGTTTGCGAGAGAGGAGGAGGGAAGGGAATGGGAGCCTGCTCAGGTGCTGAGGAGGGTGACCGGCACCCCGCCACAGATGAAGTCAGGTCTCTAGGGAAGGTCCCACCCCGGGCTTTGAACCTGCAGAGTGTGAGGTGTCCACTTCTGGGTGGCTAGAAAGCTGCTCGTAGGAATGTGGAGCTCTGAGGGTGAGCTGGGCCCAAGGGAGAAATGTCTGCTCTGTGACAGGAGGGAGGGGACCCAGCAGGCTTGTGACAGTCGGTAAATAGATGTCTGCTCAGCACTGGAATGTTTACCAAGGACGCAGTCACTGAGCACCTCCGGTGCCGTGTGCGGGGATGAGCTGGACAGACGGCCCCTGCCCCGTGGGGCCAGCACGGCAGTGGGAGAGCCGCAGCCAGGCTAAGTTACCGGATGACCTGGCCTGTCTGTGAGGACACTAGCCAGGAAGAGAAAGCAGGAGGGCTGGGCTGGGGGGCTGGGCGGGGTGGCCAGGGAGCAATATCAGCAGACAAGTGGGCCGCGCTCACCAGCGTCACCTGAGCCTCACGACAGCCATCAAGGACAGGGCTGGATCCACCCCCATTTCAGAAATGAGCAACTGAGTCACAGAAAAGTCAAGACACTTGCCCCCGGGGTTATTCAGCTACATAACTGGTGAAGCCCGCATTTTTGCCCCTGGTCCCTGCTCTTAAGTTGAAAGTCCTCCCCAAGGTGCCAAGCTTCCTCTCACGGATGAGGTCAGCAGCAGCAAAGTTCCTGAAGGAAGTGAGGGGGGAGGCTCATGGAAACTGGGCCCAGGCCCAGGGAGAGGAAGAGCAAGTGCAAAGGCCCCCAGTAGAATATTTGATGAGGAGCATGAGGACCAGTGCAGCTGGGGCAAAGGGTGGCTATGGAGATGGTGTGGCTCACCTGTGGCTTCTGGAGGACTGGCCACTTCTACTAAAGCTGAAGAGAGACCCTAGAGGGTGTAAAGATGAGGAGCGACAGAGTTGAGTCTAACCTGAAAACTCTGGTTTCTGTGTTGGGAGCAAGGGTAGAAGCAGCAGACCTGAGCAGACACCAAAGACGCCGGGAAGAGATGCTAGTTGCTGGGTGCACAGCAGTGGCAGCAGTGCAGGGGCTGCATCAGCTTCCTGACATATTATAAAGGTGGATCTTGTGGAACTGCTGATGGCCTGGATGGGGGGATGTGGGGAGGCATCAAGGATGACTCCAGGACTCAAGCAGGAGTGGCTAGAAGGGCAGGCTTCCGTGGCCTGAGGCAGCAGTGGAAGAAGCCTCTTCATAAGGACTTTCTATGTTCATCATTCGTTTTCCTTGCTGGCTCCTCTCAGGTAGGCTTGAGACTTGAAGCAGTGACATGACTTGCCCAGGGTCACATGGCCAGCAGGTGGTGGAGCCAGCACTGGAGGCCAAGTGAGCCCCTTGGATTTGGATTTCTGACTCATCCATTCAGCCCACAATCATTTCCCAAGTGCCTGCTGTGTGCCAGGCGCTGTGCTGAGCGCTGGCACCATGGGCAAGCTGAAGATGGGCCCTGCCTTGGGGCAGCGCCCCCTGTGACGGAGGAGGCGGCATCCATGGATGGTGCTGGAAGTGCAGGTCTCTCACCAGCAGCAGCGGGAGTGCGCAGGAGGAATGAGGGAGCCCTAGGAGCCTGACTGAGGGCCTGACCTGGCCAGGCGCTGGGGCTCGGGAAGAGCAGCGAGCTCTGGGACAGAGGGTCTGTGGAACAGGGCTTGGTGGGAGAGCCTCTGGTTTCCTGGGCCGCAGCGGGATTCCAAGGGAAGCACGGGGCTCCCGGCGGGGGCTGCCCACTGGGAAGCTGCAGAGCCTTTTCCATTTCCAGTGTCGGGCTGTTTTAGCAGCTGTGCCGAGATAATTCCCATCTCATGCACTCACCATTTGGTGTCCAGCCCACTGGCTCTTGGAATATATTTGCAGCATTGTGTGTCCATCACCACAACCCATTCTAGGACATTTTTATTACTCCACAAAGAAGCCCCTGCACCCCTTAGCCATCATTCCCGCCCAGGCTTCCCACCGGGCAGCCCAGGCAGCCACCACCCCACTCTCTGTCCCCCCAGAGCTTCTGTGCTTCGCATCTCTGCGTGGAATCGCGCTCGTCCTGTCGTCTTGGGTCTGGCTGCTTTCACTCGGCATCATGTTCTCAAAGTCATCTCTGTCGGACGTTGCAGAATCCGCGCGGCATCCAGCGAGCAGGGACTCTGCGACTGCCTGTGTGCTTACCTGAGCCAATAGAGGGGACATCAGGGAGCCTTGCTCTGTGACAGGGACTCCCAGACTGCCCCCTGTGCCGCCCAGGAGGCTCCCCACCCTGCTGTCATCTCTTCCTCCAGCTGGGGCCCTGGGTCAATTTGGCTCAAGATGACAACTTGGTGGAGATCTCATCTTCCCAAGCACTGAGAGCTCATGCACTGGTGATTTTCCCGCCCTCTGGTGTATCTTGAAATCTTTTATGCATCTTTGAGAATCCAGGTCCTCTAATTCAGACTGTTTGGGGACCTGGTATTTTCTTTTCCCATTACTTGAAGGCTTGGGTGTTCTGCCTGGTTGTGGGCCGGGGCCGATCTCACAGGGAGGCAGGTGTGGACGTGGGTCAGGTGCCCAGATCCCAGGCCCTGCCCTCCTCCTCCCTCCTGTGCAGTCACACCAGCTCCATGGGCCTCAGGTCATTCCTTTGCAAAATAGGGTCTCTGTGGAGGAAACAAGCTGGTGCCTGGTGCAGGCTGGGCACAGAGTCGGTGCTGAGGTGCGGGAGCGCTGGTTCCCAGGCAGTCCAGGGAGGGAACAGAGGGCTCTGCAGTCCCCAGCACGGCCAGGTGAGGAAGGCAGCCCTCCTGCCAGCAGCTGCTCCTCTGCTGGCTCCACAGTACACTGGCCTGCACCTCCCCTGTAGGCCTGCGGGATGGGAAGCCTAACTGCTGGGCTTCCGCCCAATCTGCTGGTCCAGATGGGAGGCAGAGGCCAGGGGTGTCTTCTGAGGCCGCCCAGGCAGCCAAGAGACTTCTAGGAGGGAGTATGGATGCAGGGGCCCTTCTTCCCTCCCGGGGCATCTCGTTCCTGTGATTTAAAGATCTAGGCAGAACAGTGGCACCTGCTCAGCAGAGGTGGGTGGAGAGGGACACCTGGCTTCCCTCCGAGAAGTGCCACGTGGGAGGTGTGACAGGGCCCTGCGGTAGGGCCTGCTGCTCCTGGTGCAGGGAGCAGGAGGAGCCTCTTTGAAGGGTCTTTGCTGGGCCTGGGCCTCATGTCAGTCGTTCTGCCTGCGCTGTCTCCAGAACCCTCGTGGTAACCCCCAGGGGGACACGTGACAGGTGGGGAAACTGAGGCTGGGAGATGGGAAGCTGCCTGCCCCATGTCACCCAGCAAGTGAGGAGCCGAGCTAAGATTTGAACTCAGAACAGGGCTACTCCAGCCCCTTTCTTGATGCCCTTCACCCAGGGAACAGGAGGGAGATGCACAATTGGGAGGGAGCTGGGGCTTTGGAACCCCAGCTTCCCCGCTGCTGTGGGGATTCTGTGGGCGGTGGGAAAGGCGTCGTAAATATGCATGACATGCAAATGTCCCTCTAAAAAAACAACGTGGGGGCCACAGAAGCTGGGATGCCAGGGTGCTTGGAAAATGGAGTGTTGTACAAACACTTAGGTTTCCATGACAACTGCTCCATATTGTCCCCTCCCTGGTGTCCCCAGAGCCCATCCAAGGGTCTCAAAGTGGAGGGCTCATCTTGGGTGCCTTCTAACTAGTGTTCCTCCCCCATTCCTGCAGGCACGGGTTCCTCCCTCTGCTGGGTGCCTGGTAGCCCCAGGGGTGACCAGGACCTAGCGGGGCCCCTGTCCCATGCTGCTTCCCGCCAGCACCTCTGATGTGTGCCCAGAGGAATGTGTGTGCCAGCCCTTGGTCCAGCGCCTGCTCCTGAGGTGACACCTGCTGTGCACCGGCTGGTCTCCTTTCCCTGCCCTCACAGCTCCCTGCTTGGTAAGTGAGTGTGCCCGCAGGCCTGGCCTAACCCACTCACCCGCCCGCCACAGCTGGGAAATGCCCGGCCTTCCCACCTGCTGGCGCCCACATGCTGGCAAGGGGACTTCCACGAGAGCTTTCCTACGTCTGGGCACAATTTGTAGTTAACTGGCTTGTCGTATCCTGCACTCCCAACAACCCAGGAAGTGGGCGTGGTGATCGCAACCATTTTACAAGAAACAGCCTCAGAGAGGAGAAGACACTTGCCTCAGAATGCACAGCAGCCCAACTCTGACCACCTCAAAAGCCAGCTCTTGCCAGACTGGAGCAGGTGCTGAGATAGTGTCAGGAAGGGAAGGGAGCAGGGACTGTGCTGGTGGCCCTGAGATGGCAGCCCCCTGCTGGGAGCTCCTGCTCCTCAGCTCCACTTTGCCTAACCCCCACAGGATGAGGCCCGGGTTGCCTGTCTCTGCCGCCACCCCCATATCTACCACCCCACGGGCTCACCATCCCTCCTGCAGGGGCTCCACGCACAGGAGCCGCCTCCTCGGGCCCCTCGGTGTCACGCACAGCACCTGAGGCTTCTCTATCCCATCGCGTCCTCACGCCCCCTGCCAAGGTGCTGCCGCATGAGGCTCAGTGAGGCTGGGGCTGGGGACAGGAGCTGGCAGCCCACAGCTGGCACGGCCTGGCACTCAGTGGGGTGCACAGTAAAAGTTATGGAAGGAAAGAAGAGGGTGGAGAGGAGGGAAGCCCCTCGCCTCCATCCACCCACGTGCCAGAAGGACCCAGGGGCTGTGGCCTTCGGGCCAGCTGGGGTTCCTGCTGCCCCCAGGGGCCTGCGGTGAGCTCGGCTTCCGCAGGGCAGCCAGCCCTCTGTCCCCGTCCTCTCATCTGCCAACAGCTGCCGGGCCTCCCTGATGGGATAGTTAGGAGAAGGGGAAAGACTTGTAAATATGTATAATATGCAAATGTCAAGGAGAATAAAAAAAACCCGTGAAGTTGGCTTCGATAATATAATGGAGAAGTGCTTCTTAGAGAACAAGGAGCGGGTGGTGCCAGCCTTATTATTAATAACTG